TTCATCTCCATGAACGATCCTTACACCATGAACTTCCGTTTCCTCGCCGCCGACACCCTCCAGAAGATCATCATGCTGCTAGTGCTCGGCCTCTGGGCTAAATTCACCAAATCCAGCAGCCTTGAATGGATGATCACCATCTTTTCACTCTCCACCCTCCCCAACACCCTCGTGATCGGGATTCCGTTAGTAAGTGCCATGTATGGAGATTTTACAGCATCACTGATGGTTCAGGTGGTAGTGATGCAGTGCATAATTTGGTACACTTTGCTTCTTGTCTTTTTCGAGTTTCGTGGCGCAAAGATGCTGATCATGGAACGGTTCCCGGAATCCGGAGGCGACATCGTTTCAATAAAGGTTGATACAGACGTTGTTTCTCTTGACGGGCAAGATTTTCTTGAAACGGCGACGGAGATCGGAGATGACGGGAAACTTCATGTCATGGTGAGGAAATCTAACGCTTCAAGAAAGTCGATTGGAGTCGGATCTCTTTCAGGAGCTGAAATTTACAGTATAAGTTCATCGGCTATCCAAACTCCGAGATGTTCTAATTTCAACCAATCGGATTTCTTCTCCATTACGGGGTTTCCCGGCGGCCGGCTATCAAATTTTGGCCCGGCTGCGGATTTGTATTCCTTTCAGCCGTCGACGGGTCAAACTTCGAGGCTGTCAAGTTACGAAAATGACCCTGCTCCGGTATCTCCCAACATGAGTTCTTCAAAGTCTGGATTGTACCATGCAACTCGTGAGATGGGTAGATCTAGGATTTTTGCGGAAGGTACGATGTTTACTAAAACATTTTTTTCAGAAAGCAGTTACATTTTACTGTCTCAAAAGTGAAAACATAACGTACATTTTCCAGGCGCAAACACGGAAACTTGTCTGAGCGTTAAAAAAGGCCAACAAAACAAAGTGAGCCATAACGTCCAGAAGTTTCCTCGGAGTTCTAGTGCGCCGACGGCAGCTTACAAAGGCGGACAATTACGTACTCATGATTTCCGGGAATCGACGGAGCACTCATATCGCCCGGATCAACATGGAGCTAAGGAAATCCGGATGTTGGTCTCCGATGAAATGCCTAATGACAATACCAAAGGTAAATAAATAGCTAATCGTTCTTTCGATGTTAATTTCTAATTCCATGGAAGTGCTGAATTTAAACGTGGATGCAGAGACGGAAGAAGTTCGGGGGGAGATAGGTGGAGATAAAGAGAGAATAAAACTGGGTTTGGACTCTGCGGCGGCGGAGCACCACCCTAAGACGGTGGCAGTGCCGGATGAAGGGTCTGCAAAACAGATGCCGGCGGCGAGTGTGATGATCCGTTTGATATTGATGATGGTTTGGCGGAAGTTGATTAGAAACCCTAACACGTACGCCAGCATCATGGGTCTAATTTGGTCTCTTGTGTCTTTCAGGTAAACTATTACATTATTAATTGATTTGATTAGAAAAATAGAATTAAAACAATTTTTTTACTAATTTAATCCAATATTATGCTTTTTTAGATTTGTAGTATTTAGTAATTTTTGAACTCAGGTGGCATGTGGGAATGCCAAAAATAATAGGAAATTCAATCTCCTTGATATCCAATGCTGGTCTTGGAATGGCTATGTTTAGTTTAGGTATGTAAGGTTTTTTTTGTTTATCTTTTACTAAAATAAGCAAGTTGTAGATCAGTAATTATATTATAAGTTAACCTATTTGGAAATTTGCCCTTATTACTACTACGACGATAAATGTTGTTCTTGACCTTAATTACAAGATTTTTCTAATTAAAATATCTAAACATTTAATCAAAAGTTAAATATTTTGGATAGTTTTCTTTTTTCACGGCCAAATTTATTTACTTACCAATTATAGTTTATATATGTTACAATCAATCAAATCCTATAATTAAATTACACCCACATATATCTTAACTTATTGTTAAATTTTGTCCCTTTAATTTTTAATGTTTTTACTCAATGTGTAGGACTTTCACAGTTATTGTTAAATATCGGCCCTATAATTAAGTTCTAATCTTTTTACTCGATGTGTAGTACTTTCATAGTTTTGTAACACAATGGTTGAAAGATGCACCAAAAGTTTCATATGATTTCGTATAGAGCTAACTGAAACCTTTTATTTAGTGTCATATATTTTGTTTTTGGTTCATCACATAAAGAAGCAATTAATTAATTATGTCAACAAGTCTCGGGTCTAACTTAATACAATAAATTAAGTTGTCGGCTTTTTAGCAACAACATGTTGTCGTGCTAATTGCCTCCTAAAGTTGTATACGTATTTGGTCATGATCAATGTAAAGTAAACCCTTATTTGAAACAATTTGCATCTTACATTGTTTTCTATTAAAAGGAAAGATAGTTATATAAAAAGGAAAAAGAATACAAAAATGTGTGGTGGGTTTTAGTTAAAACTAAAAGAAGGTTATGTTTTCTGTACGTTCTTTAAGGTTTGTTTATGGCGCTTCAACCTAAGATAATAGCGTGTGGGAGATCGAAGGCTGCATTAGCTATGGCTGTAAAGTTTTTAATAGGACCGGTGACAATGGCAGTAGCAGCTATCATAGTTGGCCTTCGTGGTAACCTCCTTCGTGTATCCATCGTTCAGGTAAGGAATACAATGTTCATCATTAGCATCTTTTTGTTTGCATGCATATATTTCCATATAATAAACTTGTAGACTTGTAGTTAATTACATATACATTGATGATAGGCTACACTCTCCGAAGGAATTGTACCCTTTGTTTTTGCTAAGGAATACAATGTTCATCCAACGATTCTTAGTACTGCGTGAGTACAAACTTTTAATTGTCATATATATTAATGGGTTGTATTATTATTTTTATTAATTTGGATGCTTGCTTTTTATTATATTGATAACCCGTATAAAATTTCAATGTTTCAGGGTTATATTCGGAATGTTGATAACAGTACCCATAACTTTGGCCTACTACATCATACTCCAACTCTAGTCTCTAGGATTAAAAAACTTTTATAGGCTTAGATATTTGAATTGACGAAAACAATACAACATTTACTAGAACTAGTATTTAGTTAAGATTATCTTGGAATGATTACATGATTCACTCTGACGATGGTTGTGTGTGATGTGTGTTTGTGTTTGCGTGTGAGCTAGTTTTATATGCAACAACATGTTGGTCATATTTATTTTTGTGGTGTTTATTAGAATAAAAAAAGTAATTTTTTAAATATTTATAATAATAGTTTATTTAATTATAAAAATATTGATTCTAACCGAGAAGAACAAGATTGACATAATTCAGATTATATATTCAATTAAAGTAGGGCTCACCGAGGGGCGTAGCTAAGCTTCAAGAAGGTAGGTCCTAAGACCTACTTTTTTTTTAAAATACAACAAATATATATAAAAAATATGAAGGACCTATCTCATTTTGCTAAAAGATCTACCTATTTTTGCTAAAAGACCTACCTATTTTAGTTTTATTTACATAAGAAACCATGTGGTTTTTGGTTCTAGATTCGCCACTGGGCTCACCTAAAAGGAAGACAGACTGTGGGTGTGGTTGCGATTCCTATAATATTTCGCCACCTTATCTACGACCCACATCGGGATTGGTGTGTCGTCTAAGCCAAGCTCCGTGGGACACTCTCTCTCTCTCTCTCTCTCTCTCTCTCTCGCATCTAATTTGTTACGTACTATTTATTTTCGACTTACAATTTTTTTTTATTTTTTTACCTATAAATAAAACTCAACATTTAAACTTACCACGCTTCAATACACACTTCTATCTCTCTATATTTTATCTCTCACGAATTCAAAAAAATGTATTCTTTTAACAACCCAAACAACCAAAAAAACACCCACAAGAAACACTACTCCTTTTGATCAACCAATTTATCCGTCCTCCGTTTATCATTATGGTGGTATGCTACCGTATTATCCGCAACCATATCTCAGGGGTAGCACACATGATTTTCAGGGTGGTACGTCGGAAATTTCCCAAAAAAAATTACATTGTGCTGTAAAATTTGAGGGGTTACACCGACTTCCCCATGAACCCCATATGTCTACTCTCCTAGTCAACATGGATTAATCAATTTTTCAAAGTACTATGCATATTTTCAAGCAAATTAGAAATCATTAATAAATACTTTCCTCTTCATATTTTTAAGCATATGCTTTAGATCTATCCTTCTCTACACCCAATGCTTTTAATTGCCTCTGCAAAATCACCATAATATATTTAAATAAAAACAAACAAACAATTAACAACTTTATGCCATACATATAAATGATTCTTTTTTCATATAAAACGTCTTTATTAAGTAAATGATTTTCATTTGGTAGTATCTTGAAACAATTAATGGACTACTCAATGTCCATCACAAACTATAATAAAAAGATATAGGTCGGTAAGATAGAGGTAATAGGGAAAATTACGAAAAATAGCAACCTGTTTTAATCTTGCTATCAAATGGAAATATAATTATATACTTTATTTCTTATCCATAATGGCAATATACTAACATTTATTTACCAATAATCGTAATGTACTTTGTTTTTTACCTGTAATAGCAACGTACTTACATTTTGCAACAAATGTGGATTATGGAAACTATAATTTTTTCTTACAAATTTCTATTAATGGTAAAATAATGTAATTTGGTTGCTATTATAGGTAAGAAAATATAATATGTTGCCTATATTGGTAAGTGAATCAAAGTATGTTGCTATTTGTTGCCCTAAACAATTATATTACCAAGCTTTGTTTAAAGGCCCCAACTACAGCGTCTTCATTCGCATCTAAGACACTATTGGTCTTCCCGAAGTTAGAAAGGCATATTCTATCTAGCAAATGACAAAACAAACAATAATGATGATTTAAAATTACCTAGTTTAAAACACATATAAGTGAACAATTTATATTAAAATTTCAAGAAAGCATACTAGACGACTATCTTGAATATTCATGAGTGTCATGTGTTCCCTCATTGACCGACCAATTTTACCATCACTATCTGCAACTTTGCTTCAAATTTGATGTAAATTTATTTAATCGGTCTTGTGAGTTCTTAGTCAACATGCTTGACTGAGGCCTAATCCATCGTGTTCCAAATTGGCTTCTAAATTGTGCATCTTTTGTTGCGTCTTTCTGAAGTAACTCCTTGGTTTGAACAACCAATTTTAAAAAGTGGTTTACCCTTCTTAAATCTTGAAGTTGTTGAAGCTCACCTTGGAAGCCAGCTAGACCTGCGCTATCTTGTACCGCCTGTACATCTTCCCAGAAAGTTGGTGGTAACACAAAATGCCTTTCTAATGCAAGAATCGAATCAGAAAAATTCATCTCTTTGAGGTTCACTCTAGCAAGCTCACTCAAGTGTTGCAGCTTCTCATCTTCAGTTCTGATGACATCATCCACCATGTCAGTGTACCTAGAAAGTGTTTTAGCACTATTGCCAGGTACAAGACTCACAAACATCTTCAAGGGCTTCACGGGAAATTTAGTGTTTTTTCATTCCCGTGTTTGTCGAAGTTGTCTCAAACATTCTTTCAAGGAACTATCAAGTTGAACAATTCAATCCTCGAGAGTCGAGTTTCTAATAATTAGAACCTCAACTTGATGCCTTAATACAGAGGCCTCAGGTTCAGCTTTCTCCCATACTTAACAAAACAAAAACCAACAAAAGTATTGTTTGATCACAATTTACATATGCAAATGTTAAGTGCAATCAGTAAATGCAAAAAATAACAATACACTTTTATATATTTGAGGATTATGACATCTTACATTCATTTCTTTCTAGTACAACATTGTACTTTCATATGTTTCCTTACTAAGAAAATGTACTTTGAAGAATCTACCCAATTAAAGCATCATACTTTCAAAAACAAATTATTCTATATTACTTTTTCTTTGTTGCATTGTGTCTTTCTTTGTTGTAAAAAAAGCATACCATAATTATGTTTATAATCAAGAGAAAATATTAGAACCCATCAAGTTTTATATCATTTTTGGTACCCATTTTGCCTAATTTGTATACTTTATTGCATAGTCATAACAATCTTGTCATATTTTGCTCTTTCTTCAACCATTTTGAAGTTGTATATAAAACAATATCTATATAAAATACAATTTTAAAAGTAAATCTTAAAATGTTAATAAATAAATATAAAAATATATATAATACCATGAAACATATTGGATTCATCAGTATGATGCCTCTTCGTAGTATGTATAAACATCCTTTCATTAGAATGGCAAAGAAATTACAAGTACACCCCTCATGTGATATTTAAAGATTCATATTTACCATTGGGATGTTAGGAGTCTGGCTACTCTAACCGAACCTCATGCATGGATTTTGCTTCTCCTAATTCCAACATGTTAACAAAAGATATTCAAAATATTCTTAAAAAAACTAAAAAAGGTAATCAAATTCGAGTGATTGCAAATTCTGATTTTAGAAGCATTAGAAATGGATCATAATGGATGAAGCTACAACCAATAATCGGCAACATTTGTGAATATGAGAAGCTTTTCATAAGGTGAAGTTAATCCGCTTAAAACATAAGATTTTTCGGCAACCATACGACATTATACTTGCAATGGAACAATATGTCTTCATTCTATTTAAGACACATAACTCCAAAAAAGAAGAAAAATATATTCAAAATTAAGGAGTTCTACCAAAATGTGAGAATAAAGTGAGATTAACCTTAAAGACGAGAGATGAATTGGAGGATAATAGCGGTGATTTCAAATCCACCTGGCTTCAAACAACCTGGTATGATATGGGCTTCAAACTAACTAATGTTTCTAAGTCCGAGATCCTTCATACTTCATAGCAATGTTGCAGAAATCGGTCTTGGCGACCAATTAATCGGTTGACGGCCTTGAACCGATTACGATTAAGGTGCTTGGCGGAAATTGGTAAAAATCGGTCAAAATTGGATTTGGCGGTCCTCGACAGTCATAGGCATAAAATATTTAAAAAATTCAAAATTTTTAATTTTCAAATATTACACCAAAATTTTAAATTTTCAAATTTTTAAGTTTTCAAGTTTTAAAATATTATACTAAAATTTTCAAATTTTTAAGTTTTCAAGTTTTAAAATATTATACTAAAATTTTCAAATTTTCAAAAATTTAAAAATTAAAATTTTTAAATACTTAATTTTTTAAATAAATTTATTAATAATTTTGCGTCCCTGATTAATCTCCGCCTAATCCAATTAATCGATTATCGTCAGTCGACCATCGAGCTACGGTCAAACAATTTTTACAACCTTTCTTATCAGAGCTACTTTTGTTTCGAATGGTAAAAAGTCATAGTAATGTTATGACTCCAAGATTTATAGATGTTGTTTTTAAAAGAATTAGTTTTGTCATCCAAAAAGGGGTTGCGGTATAACTTATTGTTCGTTTACCCGCTAAGTATATATAAAACTTTCTTCTTTGTTTTATATTTATAACCGTGATTTGATTTAAAAAGTCAAACAGTCAAACAAAAATAAGAGACCCTAGTTTTGTTTCGAATCATAAAAAGTCAAACAGTCAAACAAAAATACGAGAACCTTTAAAACCCTACGTCCCAAACCCTACCTCAACATACTCTTCAATGGCGGAACAGGGGTTAGAGATGCTTCTGCAAAGCCTCCGTACCTACGAGCTTCGTCTTCTTCGTTGTTCAATCTCACATGATCCGCCCCTTGCTAGTTCTCAAATCTCAATCACTCCCCATCCCCTACAAACCTCTATAGAATCCTTACTCCAATCAATTGAATCAGGGCACTACTCCAAAGCCTTGACATCCAAATCGGCGGATTTTCTCCTCAATCTCGACCAGGTATCGTCTTCCTACTCGGATTCAATCACAGATTCTGTCAGCTCCTTCTTAATTTCTGAAAATAGTGAAACGAGCACCGAAGAAAGGGCATTTCTCGTAGTTGCCGTGGCTGTCTCGGCTTTTTTAGCTTTCGTACAGGCTAAAGTTACCGGTCCTCCGGAGATACTGCCTCCGTTGTTCACTAATATAGCTAAAGAGGAGATAGAAGTTTGGGCGCGCAATGAGGTAATGTCAACTGGCTCTGATTTGTTGGGAAAGTTTTTCAATTTAGAATACATAGTTTTCGCCAAGCTACTGTTGTCAACAATTAGAGCTCATTTCGGAAACGAAAACAGTACAATCTTTCCAACGATTTCATGGTGGTTAGCTAGGGTATTATTGATTCAACAGAAACTCCTCGATGGCCACTCCTCAGTTCTCTTTCAAAAATTGCAAGATTTAATTCCTGAAACTTTAGCTCATTTGGGTGATCTAATGAAAGTATCAAGGTATTGGCCAGGGATTGAAGAAGGGAGTTTGAGTGATATTGTATCTATGCTTCACTTAGAATTTGGGATCATTGATTTCAGATATGGACGTGTTGATTCTTCAAAGTTGCATTTTGAATCTTCTGAAAAAGCATCTGGACTTTCACTTTCTGTTAGTGGTTCTTTAGGTTTCCGAACTGTACATCAGGTGGATCCAAAAGCACAGCTTCGACTCATTACCAATCACTCAAGCTCTACAAATGGTCATTCTGACAAATCTTCTCAGCATGATCCTCAGCTTCATGAAGCATCTGATGTGTTCTTGACTCCTAAATTCCTAGAATCCAACAATGAAGGTAGTCTAAAACCAGTCCAACAAGCACTGATTTTAGCACAATGTCTTCTAATTGAGAAAAACACTCCACACGATGAAATGCAAAGGTGGGACATGGCTCCATACATAGAAGCAATCGATTCCCAATCATCTTCATTGTTCATCATCAGATCTTTCTGTGACTTGTTACGTATAAGATGGGAAAGAACCCGTAGCCGAACCAAAGAACGTGCCATTTTAATGATGGATAAAGTCGTCCAAGGAATTTACGATTCTACCCCTGGAGTTGCAGTTGCAGAAAGGATGTGTTTCTGTTTCAGTGTCGACTTTCCCACTATTCCTTCTCTTCGTAAAGAATATGCAGATCTTTTAGTCTCTTGTGGGTTAATAGGAGAAGCTGTGAAGACATATGAAGATCTTGAACTTTGGGATAATGTCATCTTTTGTTATCGTTTACTACAAAAGAAATCCGCTTCTGTAGAACTAATAAACACCCGTCTTTTACAACACCCAAATGACCCAAGATTATGGTGTTCATTAGGCGATGTCACAGACCAAGATTCATGCTATTACAAAGCCTTGGAAGTTTCAGAAAACAAATCCGTAAGGGCAAAACGGTCACTTGCACGAAGCGCATACAACAGAGGGGAATATGAAAAATCAAAACTTTTATGGGAATCCGCAATGAAGTTAAATTCTTTATATCCGGATGGATGGTTTGCTTTAGGAGCAGCTGCTTTAAAAGCTAGAGATCTTGAAAAAGCTTTAGATGGATTTTCACGTGCTGTTCAACTCGATCCAGATAATGGAGAAGCATGGAATAACATCGCGTGTTTACATATGACAAAAAAGAGGAGTAAAGAGGCGATGGTTGCGTTTAAGGAGGCTTTGAAGTACAAACGTGACAGCTGGCAAATGTGGGAGAATTATAGCCAGGTGGCGGTTGATAGTGGGAATTTTTGTCTAGCTTTGGAAGCTGTAGAGAAGGTGTTGAGTTTGAGCAAGTATAAGAGAGTTGATGTTGAGTTGTTGGAGAGGGTAATGGTGGAAATTGAAAGGGTAGAAGTGGAAAGAAGTCGGGAAAGTGAGATGATTGGGGAGATTTTGAAGGGTGTTGTGAAAAATGGTGGTGGTGGTGGGGGTGTTTGGGGGTTGTTTGGGAGGTGGTATAAGTTGAAAGGTGATCTTGCGATGTGTTGTGAAGCTTTGTTGAAGGAAGTTAGGGCGTATCAGGGATCAGAAGTTTGGAAGGAGAAAGAACGATTTGTGAAGTTTTCAAGGGCATCTTTGGAATTATGTAAAGTTTATGTTGAGATAGGTGGGCGGAGGGAATTGTGTGCAGGTGAGATGCACCTTAAGAGCACGATCAAACAGGCGGCTTTGAAGTTTTCAGAAACCCAAGAATTTAAACAACTCCAAGCTTTTCTTGATAAATTGCAAGCCATGTTACAGAGTACTTCTGGTTGATAAGTACGGATTTTGAGATCAAACTTATTATTTATTCAGTTTGGTTATTGATTTTGTTAGTGATACTTTGTGTTTTTGTTCAATTTGACATGTTACGCATCCCATCCATTTAGCACCTATAATAACTGTTAATTTTGATTACAACACGAAAAAGATTTACATGGGCCCCTACAAAGGCCTAGAAACAAATAATTTAGCTGCCACACTTTTCCAAACCATAAGTTTTCAAACACAGTATGTGCCTTGAAAAAGTATTTACAATCTTTAATCACCCAAAAGGCAGAGCGGTTGTCTCATACTCAACTCAGCTTTAAGCTTCGGGAACCCCTCCAAATTATGCGACTCGCTTAAAATCATCTACAAATCACAACACAAATATAATAATTACAATAAAAGTAAAAACTGAAAAAATGTTAATAATATTATTACCAGTGCAGCAAGGTGTGCTTCTTGCAGTATATTCCCGTCTACTTCCAATCTAGCAATAGGAAACTCGGGAAGATGTCCCGACTGTTTCTTTCCCAACAAGTCACCCGGGCCCCGCAAAAGTAAATCCATATTCGCCAGGTGGAACCCATCCGACGAATTTTCTAGAACCTTCAACCTAGGCAAACCGCTACTCGTTGAAGACAAAAGCAGACATTTTGATTTGCGGACCCCACGTCCAACTCGTCCCCTGAGTTGGTGCAACTGAGCGATCCCAAATCTTTCTGCATTCATAACAACCATCATGGAAGCTTCCGGAACATCGACTCCCACTTCAATGACTTGAGTGGAAAGTAATATTTGTGTTTCTCCGGATCTGAAATTTTTTAAAGCTTCGTCTTTTTCATCGCTTTTCATTCGCCCGTGTAGTAATCCGCAGTTGATGCCTTGGAATCTGTTGGAGATTACTTCCAGGTCAGCAGATGCGCCACGAAGCTGAGGGAGTTGTTCTGATTGGTCGATGATTGGGTAGACTATGTACACTCGCCCTCCTGATTCCAATTCCACCTTCATCATCTGCAATCAGAATGGAATCAGCCATTACATTACATTCAGTGATATTATTATTAACAATTACCTGATAAACCTCTTCAAAACCGGCTTCATTTCCTTCAACTGCATATGTATCGATAGGTTTTCTCCCAGGAGGCAAATCAGTTATCTACAAATCAATGTTTAAAAAAACAACATTAAACACATCAAAATGCAATATGTTTATTACATAAAAACTATGTAGTAAAATTACATACTTGTGTGAGAGACATATCTCCATACAATGCTAAAGCAAGAGTTCTTGGAATTGGAGTTGCAGTCATGGCAAGAACATGAGGAGCCATACTTGTGTCCCCTTTTGATGAACCATTGGAATCAATTTCTGCCAATCTTGAATTTACCGAATTACTATACAGCTGCAAGATTTCCAAAATTTGTATTGATTTACAATCCTTTTAATTATAAAAGCTTTAAATAAACTTACAAAAAATCACCTTGCTATTAAATCGACCTCTCTGGATCACTCCAAATCTGTGTTGTTCATCTACTACAGCAATCCGTAAACAAGAAAATTCCACTTTTTCAGCAATTAAACTGTGGGTCCCAATCACCAATGAAATTTCTCCACTTTGAAGACCCTGAGACTCGAATATTCAAGTAAATATAATATAAAAACCCAAAGTGAATAATAATATAATTACTTAAAATATTCCTTTTTTTTTTACCTCACGAATTAAACGTGCTTTTTTTACTGGAGTGGAGCCTGTAAGCAAAGCAACAGATGGTCTGGAATCAACATCTTCCATGTTTTCAAGTAAACTAAGAAGGCGATCATGGTGTTGAATAGCAAGCAACTCAGTTGGAACCATGAAAGCTGCCTGCATAAAAACAAATAAATAATAAAAACAAAAAGATGACAAAAGAGGGGTAAAACGGTCATTTTGTAAAGACTTAACGTCTCATTTCCAACAGTGTGAGTGAGAGGGACCAAAACAGCAAGAAAATTAAACCACGAGAACAGTCCATGAAAGAATGGACTGACTCGGTCACTTTCAACAAACCACAGGGACCATTTCTGTAATTTAATCTAAACTAAATCAACCTGATATCCTGAACCAATAACCTCCATACACGCCAAAAAGGCCACCACAGTTTTCCCACATCCCACATCTCCCTGAGAAGAGACATCAAGGTCAAATAGTCAATCAGGTTTCAGTAGCTTGATCAGTTTCCACAATTTGCATTAAAAAATGTGATTAAATTGAGTTGAATTCAGACCTGCAAAAGTCGATTCATTGGAATTTGGCGTTTTAAGTCCCAAATGATTTCTGAAACAGCAGTGAGTTGACTAGAAGTCAACGAATATGGTAGAGAATTCAAGAACTTTTTGGTAAGAGAACACCATTCATCAGTAAATGCTGCATTTGTTGAAGGGTTTCTGTATTTATTCAGTAAACCATCTTTCTCAATCCATGTCCCAAGTCCTTCAAGCATTTGAAACAATCGTCCCAACTGTTATTAACCTCCACCATGTCAAATACAAAAAAAATAATAATAAAAGAAATGGTAAAGTTTAAATGATATAAGATTGCCTGAAGGTAGAAGAACTCATCAAATATAATCCTTTTGCGAGCTAAATCAGCCTCTTTAAAATTTGATGGCTGATGAATCCCAATATATGCCTGCATTAATTATTAGACAAGTTATATACACAATCACATTTAGAAAAGAAAAAAAAAAAAAAGACAGGAAAGTGATGGAAATGTAGCATAATTACATCACGGAGGCTTTTTAATCCAAACATCTGAAGGGTATTGTTGGGAATTGGATCTATGCCAGGTGGCAAGGTGTCTAGAACTCTGGAAAATGAAAAAGAGCAAATGAATATAACTACAAATATAGATTAGGACATTAAGTGATTAATGAAATGGAAAAAGTGGAAATCAAAACCTTGCAATAATGTCACTGAGTAACTTTGGATTAAGACCACCTTTTGAAGGGTAAATTGGGTAAGGTCTTCCTTCAGCACATGCAGATTCATCATCATCATCTCGAATTAAATCCATATTATATTCCCTCATTTCATAATGATATTTTGTACGCATAGTCTTCACCTGAATCAAAACAACATCAAGTAAGAATTCTGCATCATCTTGCTTCATACTCCAAAAAAAAAGTTGGAGAAATTTACTACCTTGCCACTGACACATACAATGTCTCCCTCTTTCTGTTTCTCCTGAAGACTACGCAAAAACGGTTGATATGTAAAACGGGTCCCACGAAAAAACTTCTTTAAGTGCAAATATATTGTTTTTTTGCTTCCATTATTATGTTCAGAAACCATGCATGCTGAAGATGAACCACTTTCTGCAACCTCACAACCAACAATCACTTCAAGAAACGATAGAGAACAGCTTGCCTTGATTCCCCTACATTTCAATAACATATTAGTAACTTAAAAAAGAAAAAACAAAAAAGATTTACTTTAATAATAAATATCATAATAACCTTGATGATAGAACTTTTCCAACAAATATTAAGTATTGCCCATCATCAATTGTAAACTGTGCATTTTGTAAGTCAGCATATGTTCTTGGGAAATGACTCAGCAACTTCCGTATCTACAAATCAACAAAAAGAACTCGATTTATAACTACAAAAGATTACAAGGGTATTAATGGAAATGCCAAAAAAACACAACCCACCGTATGCAAACCACAATTTTCCAACTGAGTGCATTGCTTCTTGCTTAATACAGGTATACAGCTGATGGATTTATCAAGTATCAATTCAAATGGATCACTGACACTACATTGAAGATCAGATTTAACAGGATTTGGGGATTTAGCATATGATGGCAATGTGGAAGAGGAAGAGGAAGAATTCTCTTCTTTTGATGAACATGTTGAGTCCAGAGTACTTTGATCTGATATACTTTCAATCTTGTGGGATGAAAATTGATTAAACTCATTAGCTATTGAATCCCATGACTCACTATAAATTTCTGCTGTCAATATGTTAATCTTTTCAGGGGCATCTGAAATTCCATCATATAATTCTACTGGGCTAGATTTCCCTAATATGATTGAAGGAAATTGTTTTCGAACCAAAGATGCATCAAAAACATGTTTTCCTTCATCAATGAGCTCATCAAAACTATCTTGATACATAGTGGCAGATACCTACAAGCAAATGAAACAATATTCAAATTATCTTTTATTTATAATATACATACAATTGATACAAAATTGTCTGATGAGCACATACTTTATTGAGCAGTTTTCGCCTGTCCAACTTGCATGCGCTTCCATAACTGCCTACTTTGTGAAACACATTTTGTGTTAACTTATGATTAAATGTAGAGAAATATTTTGAAATATTGCACAACAGAAGACCATTTAACCTGAAAGAATTCAAAAGATTAATACTTTACCTAAATCATTCACAAGATGATTGGTATTACATTAAATGTACCTCATTTTTTTATTCAAAACATGTCTATATCCTCGTGCAGCTTGAAAAATATTTGCATGTATCAAGCATCTTTCACTTAAACACTGCATGCTAAAATTTTCTGAATTAGAGAAAGAGAGGAATTTTAAATTAGTGGAACTAGCACTTCAATTTATAGTTTCCCATAGAGAATCCATGTATAACATCCATACCAATTTCAAATTGTTGTAATTGAGTGGCTTACAATGAACAATTGTAACATCAGGAATGCTTACAAAACCATATGAAATAACAATTCTATTATGATGTAGCTGAAGATAGCAAAGTGTAAACTAGATAAACTAAAATGATAAAAGAAATAAAGATAGCAGACCAGTGATACATTATGGCCATTGGTGTTGTACAGATGAAAACACTGAAGTATAATCGTAGCAAGTTACAAACATTATGAAGTAAGATGGAAACTAATAATCAATTTAATACGAAAACGAGAAATAGAAAGTGTAAAGTTTCAATGGTAAAAAGGACCCAAGCTTACAAATTTCAGGTTTACTTCGAAGGCTAACAATGGCGTGTACTGATAATTTATCCAGCAGTTCGGGCCACGAACAACTATGAAAGGGGTTATAATCTTCTGTACAAATTCACTACTGAAATTCCTGAATTTCTAATTACCAAGGTTAGTAAATCATCATAATTGTCGAGACCATGCAAACCCTGACCCGAGACATATGTTCCGAGCACGATAAGCCTTGATTTCGAACTTCAAATCGATTTGGGAACCGAGCAGTTGTTCGACGTAATGCGCGCGTGAGACAGGGTAAGCGGGAATACAAAAAAAAAAATCTCCTCCTCTGACCCGACCCGGCCTCTGGAAAGTGAGAACGAAATGAATGGGTTTTACTTCTCCAAATGATGTTTAGGGAGGTCAAATGGTTAACACACTTTTAAGAGTAAATTACACGAATGGTCGAGTAACTTGTGCTTTTTGTTCCTAACTTATTTTTTAACTCGGACCATCCCTATAGTTTGATTTTGTTGTGTCGTTGGTCCCTGATTGATGTAAAAAGACTATTATGCCCTTATGTATTTCTTTTTTAATTTTATGTTATTTATTAATCATTTTATATATATTTAAAAAAAACAATAATCCAAGTTCCCGAACCTCAGCACCGCCACCGGACATCTCTTACTCACCAACTCTAGATTTCTTTACAATCCTTCAACATTTCATTTCTGCTCCATCAAACAATGGCTGAATTTCTATGTGTGATTTCTAATGAGATTTCCAGCAACACCAAAGATGACCATCGTGTCTGGCTTTCCAATCACCAAACGACCAACATGAAAAAACAAAACTCATTTGTTCTGATATCTCAAAAATATCCCAAAAAATCCAACATTATAACCTAAAAAATCCACATATGAACTCAATTTGAAAACCAATAACTACAATAACTACTGTATTGGTATTTCTCGATCGTTTTTCATTCTCATCTTTCAAAAATCCCCAAAGAACCCACCATCATATCGACCTATGAACTATAAATGAAAATTCAAAATAAGGGAAATAAGCTCAAATTTAATTACCTGGAGAAACAAAATACAAGCCCTAATAGTCAGATTAATGAAGAAATAACAACGCCAAAAAAGGAATATGGCTTTTAAGGTGGGTTTTCATGGCAGGTAGTTGTGTTGCTAATGAAGAAGGTTGTATCGGAGCGACCATCCGAACAGGGGAAGGGGAGAGACGATTGCAGCCGAAGATGACTGGAAGTGTGCTTTGGTTCTGAACCCGGTGAAGCTGCATCGTCTTCGACGATGAATTTGATGTCTTCGTCATTTTACAGAAAAAGGGAGAGATTTGTTAAGGGGAAAGGGAAGCCGATTATAAAGAGGGAGGATACTGTGAAGATGAAGAAAGGAGGATAGAGGTGTGACGGATATGGCCTGGGAATTTGGATTATTGTGTTTTTCTTTTTTTAAAAAAATGATTAATAAATAAAATTAAATTAAAAAAGAAATCCATAAGGGTATAATAGTTTTTTTTACATCAATCAGGGACCAACGATGCAATAAAATGAAACTATAGGCACGGTCCGAGTTAAAAAAATAAGTTATAGACCAAACACGCAAATTACCCTAAACTTCAGGGATCATTCGTGTAATTAATTTACTCGGATTGTGGGAATGTTTTGGTGGGTTTTTAAATTCAATAAAGGATTTTAAATTTGGAAGAAATTTTGATAATGTCATAACATTTGGAATGGAATTAGAATTACGATTTTTGTAAATCTTGCATGAATTTTAAAGGATTTTGAAATCTATACACCTCATATGACAAAATTGTCATTTATTAATTTAGGACAAAATTGCAAAAATGGTCATTGTTGTTTGTCAATTTCTTTGAGTAAGGTCCCAAAAAAATTTATTAGCAAAAAATGTCAGTATTTGATGGTTTTGTTGTGGTTTTGGTCCCTATCTCGTTAAGTTCAACAGCTTAGTTGTTAAGTTTTGACAAAAGACGAATTTACCCTTAAGGACCATTTATGCAATTTTATCTTTTTACCAAACTACAAATACTAATTATGCAATTTTTCATTTTTATTTTATTGAAGTAGTGTATTTTAACTCTTTTAATTAATTCTTCTTTAACTTCTTTCTTATATATTATTTTTTTTATTGGATTATTATATATTAATAAATATTATTTTTAATATATTATATTTATATATTAATAAATATTACTTTATTTGATTATTAATTTTTTTGAATTTCTTCTTTCTTGGATCAATTCATCTTTATTAGATTATTATATATTAATAAATATTATTTTTAACATATAATATTAATCTATTAGTAAGTGTTATTTTATTGGATTATTAATTTCAATTAATTAATTTTTTTATTGCGTTAATTTTTTTTATTGGATTATTACTTTAAATTTATTATTTTTATTTACAATAAATATTATTTTTTAATTGCTTTTATTTTCTTTTGGGTAAATTACACCATTGGTCCCTCGTGCACATGCAAGAAAGCGTGTTTAGTCCTTATTTTCAAATTTTAACTCGGACCGTCCCTCGTATCGTTAAAAGGTGCACGTTACGTCTCTCGCGGACATAAAATGACTATCTTGCCTTTTTTTTTTCTTTTTCATTTATTTTTTAATTGTTTATAACTTATCTATTATTTTTTTATAATTATTATTTTTAGAAAAGGAAACATCGCTTAAAAAGGAGTTCAAACCCTTTTGGCCATCAACCACCTCCAGCTACAGTCACTTTTGGCTACCATCCACCTCTGGCCACCATCCACCGCCACCGGAAACCATCGCTTCTCTCTCTCTCTCTCTCTCTCTCTCTCTCTCTCTCTCCTTATCTCATCTTTAAACTCCGACAACTCCCCTTCCCGTTCATTATTGCCATTCACAACCACCAACCTCCATAAAAACGACCATCGGGACCATCACTTACCCTACCATATCTACTAATCTTCACCTGATCAGACTTGTAACCCAAAAGAAAGAAAAAAGAATAAAGTTGAAGAGGAATCTGTGATTGAGAGATATATGGTCGAATGGTGGGGGGGGGACATAAAACCATACTCCTGCGATCGATTAAGAGGAGGAGGTGCAGGTGAAACCTACACTGTTCATCACCTTCTCCACCTTACACCTAAAATCATCCAACTACCACCCCTACATCGACATCGACTCCGAATGTGGAGCTCGATGGTCTCTATGTCTCAGCCACTCATCTCATCCACGATGGAGGCAGAGATCGATCTCTATACATATGTCGAAACGCACAAAGATCGATGACATCTATCGAAACCCTAGCCGAAGCCGATGGCAGGGTACATGTGACGAAGCCCTAGCTGACGGAGATCCGAGATCAAAGACTGAATCACAGGTGTAAGCATCGATTTTAGACAGTTCAAAACCACTTACGCCAGAAAAGATGGTGGTTAGAGTGCGATGTGTGTAAAACAGCGGTGGTTTCCATGAATGTGGTCGGAGTGTAAAACGACGGTGGCATCCACTGACGGTGCCTTAAGGATGAATGGTTTTAGGGTTTTTGAAGAGTTTGGAGAAGAAAGACAATAAAGGGAAGGTATAGTGGGTGGAGAGATGTGGTTGGGTATGAAATGGGACCACATCTTTTTTTTTTTCTTTCTTAATTAATAATAATGATAATAACATAAAATTAATTGGAAAAGATAAACATAAAGGGCATTATGGTCATTTCAGATATGGCAATGACTAATATTGCAACAAAAATGTGTATAAGGGACGAAGCGTGCATGTTTTAAACAAATGAGGGACGGTCCGAGTTAAGTTTTGAAAATAGGGACTAAATGCGCTTTTCAGCACCTGCACGAGGGACGATTGGTGTAATTTACCCTTTTCTTTTAATTGCTTTCTTTATTGTTTTAAATAAAAATACCAAAAAATTTCACCCACCCCACATCTCCTAATTTATTTTAAATATTTGGAAGATAACATATTTTGGACAACACCACCAGCATCATTCAGTCACCACCACCACTATAGGGTTGTCTCCAACCCATATATATATATATATATATATATATATATATATATATATATATATATATATATACACATACATACATATAATTTTCAGTAATTATTCACGAAGTGAGATCATCGTGTGTATTTTAGTTTTTGTGTATTCACATGTATCTAAATTTTTTATATATTTCAATTACAACTTATGATTTTAATTTATGATTTTGATATATATATAATTTCCCTAAAAATATTTCTACACGAATTACAAATCCGAGTACTCGTTACTCGACAGTCGGCCAAACGAGTACCGAATAACGAGTTCTACAACCTTTCCACCACCTGTAGCGGCTATGGTGGTTTGAAAACCTTCGATCTAACATTTTCGCCATCGATGACGGTATCAGTAATGAATGGTCGGTTGGAGGCTGTATGTTTTCTGGGGTTTGTTGCGCATTGTGTGGGTAGCCGACCGGTGTAGTTTTCGTCAACAATAGCCGACTGTAGGCGATGATCGGTGATTTCCAACGAGATTATACGACGACGCAAGGTGCTAGAAGGCAACGAATGGAGGAGCTGACCAGGGGTGTTTGGTTCAAACCTCCTGGTGGTTGTAATAGAATATGGTTGGCTTAGTGGCTGATATAGAGGATTCTGACGGGTTGTGATGAGGTTGTCCTAGGTGGCTATTCGCGACATTGGGTGTAACAAGTTTATGGGGTTTCCGTCGAATAATCGATGAAGGTGATTGACGGTTGTCCCGTCGATTTTCGACGATAGGATGCGACACTTTTTGCGTATTCTTGTGACTTTGTGGTGGACACAATAAAATTAAAAAGAATTACTATTATACATTATAAATTATTAATTCAATGAAATGATATTTATTATATATAAAAATAATTAATTAAAAGTTATAATCCAATGAAAAGAATTAACGTAATAAAATAATAAAAATATAAATAAAAGAAATAAATAAACAATAAAGTAATATTTATTAATAGAAAAACATTATATGTTAAAAAAATATTTATTAATATATATAATAATCCAATACGAAAGAATTAATCAAATAAAGAACAAATTAAAAAAACAATTCACTAAAAAAATAATAATAATATGATAAAATAATATTTATTAAGATATAAATATAATATAATAAAATTAGTATTTATTAATATATAATAATCCAATGAAAAAGAATTAATCAACTAAAGAAGAAATTCAAAAAAGAATTAATTAAAAAAATTAATAATATAATAAAATAATATTTATTAATATATAAATATAATATATTAAAAATAATATTTATTAATATATAGTAATCAAATAAGAAAGTAAATTAAAAAAGAATTAATTAAAAAAATTAATGTACAATAATTCACTAAAATGAAAAAGAAAAATTACAGAAATGGTCCTTATAGTTTGGTAAAAAGATTAAACTGTAGAAATGGTCCCTAGGGGTAATCCGTCATTTTCAAAAACTTAACAACAAGCTGTTAAACTTAACGCGGTGAGGACCAAAACTACAACAAAACCACTAAATAGAGACCTTTTTTGCTAATAAAATTTTTTTGGACCTTACTCAAAGAAATTGACAAACCCTAGGAACCATTTGCAATTTTGTCTTAATTTAACAAATCGAAACATCAATCTTAACCTTCAAAATGAATTTGACCATTGATTTTTTTGACCAATTTGACTATTGATCAAACTTGGGTGAAATTAGGGTTTTGGACTTAGGATTACTCCTTTGTTAGTTTGGGTCACTAAGTTACGCCAAATGATGATTTAGGTGGTTGGGGTTAGTTGATTCTTACAAGGACACATGTGTAACTGTGATTCTTCAACTTTCAATTCAGGTGAGTTTTCTTACTATACTATGTAGAACGTTAGGTCTCATGACATAATAGATTGTCTTTGTGACCTTATGTATGAAAGACTATGGTAGTACCATAACAATTGTATAAAAGACTACGATTGTATCATAACACTAGTATGAAAGACTATGGTAATACCGTATCACTTATATGAAAAGTTATAGTGGTAACATAACACTATAATGAAAGACTATGGTTGGTACCACAACAATTGTATGAAAGACTATGGTGGTACCATAGTGTAGCGCCCACAGATTCGGGATAGTCAATTTAGAGACAATAAGCGTCAAAAATGACTTTTGATAGATGATTATTTAGAATAAATAATCTTAACTAAGTTGTAGTATATTTCACAAGGTTTTCGTACATATAAAGAACGCCGAAATCCGAGTTATAACGAAGAAGTTATGACCTGTCGAAATTTCGCGACAAAAACCGGCACGACACCGGGAATCGTAAAAAGTGAATTTATGACAGAGTACTTTTTAGCCTTAGGGGTCTAAATTAAATTTGTAGAGTACGTCTCCACCTACGCGTGGATATAAAGAACGTCAAAAACGGAGCTCGTATGCAAAAGTTATGACCTTCCGAAGATGTAGTTGTATAAGAGCATGACACGTGTCAAAAACCCTAATTTGACTGGACTCACGACGTGAGCACTAATTCTCACGACGTGAGGAGTCAAAACGGAACTTTTCGAAGCTAGAAGATGCATGGCAAGTCTACGGAGTGATAAGTCAAAAGCTCACGATGTGAGTAATGGATTTCTCATGACGTGAGGAGTCAAACGGACACCATGCAAGCCTAGAACGCAGATGGCGAAGCTAGGACATGATCAGCCATGGCTCACGACGTGAGCATGCTTGGTTCACGTCGTAAGGGGCCAAAAATCAGCCTATAAATAGCCATTTCGACCTCAGCCATTCTTACACCAAAACCTCTTTCCTCTCTCTCATTTGTTGAAGCCGTTCCGCGTCCCGAGCCCGACGATCACGAACCGCTGACCATTTCTAGTTAGATTCTATCAACTCATGCTACTAAGGAGAGTGCATAGTTACTTTCATATTACACATAAATATTGAGTATTTTATATAAATTACATGTTATGTGTGCATATTATCTGTATACTTGTTATCTATGTTAGATGAACACTATTATACATGTTTTAAATGATTTAAACTGTATACGTATTTTATACCTATAAATTACAATGGGTAAATATGGGTAGATGAAAGATGAGTTGGATGATGAGATGAAAGGTGATATAGATCATGAGATAAGGGTGAGAGGTGAGAAATGAGAGAAGCCTTTAACCAAGCGTTGGCCCCGTCATCTAGCAGAGTATGGATGACAATCACAGACTATTCTAGACAGTCCAGTGGAACACTAGCAGGCTCCCTGTAACATCCGGATTTCCAGGTATCATAATTTAAGTATTTATTTTTGATTTAAGAAGAGGGACTCGACGAGTTGACGCCTAAACTCGTCGAGTAGGATCGCGACTGATGACTCAGATTAATGAAGGGACTCGACGAGTCGGCGAGTCGACTCGACGAGTCCGCGCTGTGGACGAAACCCTAAATCTTTGGGCCTGAGCCCTATTTAAAGGCACTTATGGCCTTCAATTGCGGCTACCTTTCCAGAAGAGAGAACCCTAGCGAGTTTGAATGTGTAGAGTGAGAGGAAGAGCTATCTTGAGTTTTTTAGTGTGATTTTGCAAAGGAGGAGAAGATTTCCAGCAAGAAGGACCAGAGGAGGTTGTTGTTATGAGTTAGTCAAGCAAGGAGCTTCATTCTGAGGTACCAAATCGAACCCTTCTTCTTCCCTATTGTGTAGATTCCATTTTTGGGGATAGGGCTTGAATCACTTCATTTTTAGGGTCTTGAATGCATCAAATCCCTCTTCCTAGTTGTGTTATTGATCTGGACCTTTCTAGGTCCATAGAGCCATAGAGTATGAAGCTTTAGTCGAGTAATCATAGGGTTTTGAAGCTAGGAAGCATTAATGGGGTTTCTATGGTATATAATGCAAGATACACCATGCATGGACTCCAAGTTCAGACCTTTACGTGATTTTTGGGTGTTAGAAGGCCAGATCTATAACTTAGAGAAACAGATCTGACCTCAGAAGGTCACATGAGTAATGCCATGGAGGAAACTCGCCGAGTCCATGAGAGGACTCGACGAGTCGGATCGGGTTGCCCCGCGATTCGTGATCATAGGTAACCCATCGAGTGAAAGGTTAACTCGACGAGTCGAGTGAGGCCTTAGGAGGATTCAGAGGACACGCATGGACTCACCGAGTCACCTGAGTGTACTCGACGAGTCTGGTCAAAGTTGGACCGTTGACTGGAGTGGACATCTGTTGACCTTGGGGGTTTGGTCAAACTGATTCATGAGAGGCCATGGAAGGGTAGAATGGTCTTCTACCCATTCTTTAGAGATGTGAACATCAGGAGAGTATTGATTAGATATATTATCATTTTGATAGGCGGAGGCTAGGTCGGGGATATCGAGCACGAGAGTTTGCTAGACATCGTACGAGGTGAGTCTTCTCACTATACATTACCTAGAGTGGTATTTATGTGCAGACCGGAGGGTCCTATGTGTTATGTGTATGTTTGAGATTATGTGCATTGTGATATTTGTATGCTATGTGTTATATAGACCGGACCGAAGGATCCAACGACTTACGAGGCCAGAGGGTCCTCGAGTAGACCGGACCGGAGGGTCCAACGATTTAGACCGGACCGGAGGGTCCAACGAGCTAGACCGGACCGGAGGGTCCAACGAGCTACGAGACTGGAGGGTCCCGCTGAGACACAGTAACCGGAGGGTCAAACCGAGTCATAGCCGCGAGTGGATTATGTGTTGTATGTGGTATTTTGGGGAACTCACTAAGCATTTATGCTTACCGTGTTATGTGATATGTGTTTCAGGTACTACCGAGGATCGCGGAAAGGCGCCGGCATGATTTGTACACACTGACAGAGGATTTTGTATCTGAGATTTTGGGATATGTTTTACCGTGATAACATTTGATACACTGAGTTGAGATGATTTATATGAGATATGTTATGTTTGAAAAATGAAAAATTGTTTGAAATTTTATGTTGTTACACTCGCAACCTGTAGGTGTTGTGAACGATGTGTTCACCCGGTGTACTCTAAACCCTGGCGATTATGCGACTTAGTGCCTGTTGTATAAACCCTGGAGACTATGAGACTTAGTGCCTAAACCCTGGCGACTATGCGACTTAGTGCCTCTTGAGTAATCCCTGACAATGATGGATTTCATGCCGATTCCTTAGGATGATCCTTAGGAATGAATGAACGAGGAATAGCTAATTCTTAGGGTAGATCCTTAAAAGTAAAGAAGATAATGGGGATGGGTAACTGGGTTGATTGTTTGATGTTTAAACATAATAATTGTATTATTGTGGGTTGAAAACCCTATGTACTCACCAGGTTTCCCAACCTGACCCACTCAAGCGTATTTGAATCACAGGCGCCGATACGGAGTTACATTACACTGAGAGATTAAAGAGGTGTAGATCACTAGTGTAAATGAATGTAAGTTCTGTTTATGCTTATGTTTCTGTATTGACAATGACATCCCAAATGTTTTACTGGGAACAAATTCCGCAACATTTTTATTTAAAAAAGTACTCTGATTTTTATAAAGCATAAACAAAAAATCGGTCTTTTCTGACCGCGAAAATGGAAAGGGGGATGTCACACATAGCACCAGTATGAAAGACTATGGTGCTGTTTGTTTTTTTAAAAAACCACTTCTGACCACTTATTGTTGTGTCGCGCAGCACTTGGCCCTTCGCAGCTGTTTGTTTTTTCAGAAGACTTCTGACTTCAAAACTGCCCCGCGTGTGCTGCGTGGCGCAACACTTGACCATCTGCTTCAAACCTCTTCACACCTTACTTTAACTTATTGCAGCAGTCTGCAGAGGTTAAAAAACAAACAGACTTTTTATTACATGTTGCAACCGTTTGATCCCCCTCTTCTGCTACAGAGAGTTGCAGAGGTGATCCCTAGACTTCAGACATTTTCGCTTCGAAAAACAAACGACACATATAATGAGACCATAGCAATTACATGAAAGACTATGGTGGATCATAACAGAAAAGTTTGCAGTGGGACTACAACAACGAAAGTGAGTGTAAGACTATGGTGGGATCATAGCCTTTACATGTGTATGTAGTATCTTGGTGAATTAACTAAACTTTGTACTTACTCGTTTAAGTTTAAATGTTTCAGGTTGGTCTGGAAACAAAGAAAATGACACAGTTTGATTGCATCACATCTATGGATCTATTTTGGAGTCTTCAGTTGATTTGATTTTTACTATCTTATTATTACTTTGGTTTTGAATATGGTTGACATATTTGAACAAATGGTGGCCTTATCATACTTTGGGGAATGAGATTTGAATGATTACTCTTATTTAAAAAAGAAAATTTGTGTTAGAAATTTGGGATGTTACATATAGGGTTTAAGGTTTCTATAGTTTTGTTTTGATAAAAAGAATACTAATCTATAATTGTTGGTATGGACTATGGAGGATGTAAGGAAGGAAAATGAAAAGGTGTTATAGTTGTAGATAACACATACATATAAGAGAATGATGAGGAGGCGCCAAAAATCAAGATGAAAACCTAAGAATAAGGAGGTGCTTTACTGGAAATGGTCCTAATGGTGCTGGGTAATGACATCAACAAGGAGTAAACATTATTTACTTAACAAAACCAACGGATCGACCTTGTATGCATTACAACATCACTTATGATACAACGATAACAATAATAGTTACAACAATAATAGTTTAAATTATCAAAGCATATGATACAACAATAATAGTTTCCAAGATTAAAGCGTATGATATCTCCTAAGCAAGACTCGAGTCTATAGATTTGATGCGTGCTTATTATTTCTGAAGTTTCCATTTTTACAACAATTACACCAAATTTAACGATCACTCGTAGCATTCTTGATAGCAAACGAACCTTTATCAAGAACCCAATCCTCAATCATGGCTTGAGAATTCACATTTTGATCGGTTGGCACAAAATGCCCAGCACCTAACACCACCACATGGCTCAAATTATCCCATTTCTGCACATACCCTGCAAGAACACCATTCACTCTCCATACATCTTTTTCTGCATCCAAAAACTTCCCAATCCCTTCCCACTTCATCTTCTTCACCCAAGATTCAACAGACACAACTCCATCTCTCAAATCACACTGCCCTTGATACAACAGTAACTTAGTGTTCTTAACAACAAACTCCACCATGTACTTCACACTCTTCATCACATCTGCATGCAATGCTGCCCCAACCACATCACTACATTCCTCAAACACCATGGATTCGTTCACTCCTAATGCCTTTTTAACTTCTGGATTCTTCAAGAACTCTTCTACCTTGGAATCGTAAGGACTATGCCTCCTGAAATCATACAAAGTAGCTAAACCTGTGATGTTTTGTAGAAAACCCAACACAACGATTCTTGCATTTCTAGCATCGATCCACTTACCAGCTTTTATTAGCTTGATAACCTCGAACTGAAGCTTCTCCATTTTGGTTTTTTGTTTTTCATTGATTAAACCAAGATAGTAAGTATGCGAAGCGTAAGTGTTGACTTGGGTTTCCGGATGAGTCAATCCATTTCCGATGGCCAATCCGTACAAATTGATCCGTTTAGAAACGGGTAAAAGGGGATTCTTTTTGAGAATGTAGTACCCAATTGATGGGACATATTTTCCAGCGTAACTCTCACCTGTAATGTAGATTGGACGAGATTTAAACGATGGGTCTAAAGCGAGAAACTTTCTGATGGCGATGAATAGATGTCTTGCTACAGCGTTTTGGTCTCTTGGGATTTCTTCAGGCGTCGAAGCGATACTAAACCCGGTTCCGATTGGATTATCAAGGAAAAGGAGACCGAATATTCTGTTCCAAGAGCCTGGATTAGGTTCGAGGGAAAGGTGTTCGACGTTTTGCTTCATTGAAGCTGTCACTCGCCATGGACCGAGTTCGAAGAAGTTTCCGGTCATGGACGAGCAACCAGGTCCTCCTTGAAGCCAAATGACAAGTGGGGTTTCAGAAAGAGAAGTGTCGCTGGGATTCTGGGCTTCATAGAAGGCATAGAAAATGGCGGACCCGGTGGTGGAATTGACCAAAAGGTAGCCGGATCTTGTGGGGAGAGCTTCTTTGGGGAGTGTAGACGCCGATGAGTGTGGTTGTAGGTGGTGGAAGAGAGTGAGGAAGAGGAGGAGCATACGGAGTGTTGACTCCATTGACGAGAGATCACTGGTTTGGATTTTGATCGCTTTGACATTTTGTAAGGCTGATGATTGCGCCGGCTGAGTAAGTCCAATACCAGAAGATGATTTATGATTTATCAATCAGATATCCTTCTATTTTTTTCTTATAATTTTTTTACACATTTAATATTATTACACTTATCATATTTAATTAGATTATAACCCACGTTAAACGCGAAAAAACGCATAAAAAACATACAAACGTCTTTGAAATTTGTTATTTAAATATTATTTGTTTTTTCTTTTGATTTTGAAGTATACTTTGTTATTTTAGGGTTATGAACAAAACCTATATAATTTCGATTGTTATTTTAGGGTTATGTCCCGAAATATATAATTTTATTGAGTTCTAAAAACTATAAAAAAAATTATTAACAAAAAATAGTAACATGAACAATTTCTGTTATTTATAGCAACATACTTTCAAAATACGTTGTTATTTTTTATCATTTATGTTATCAACATGTGTATTACACAAATTTTAACCTATAAATGGATCTTAAAATTATATTATGTTCTATAGGGCATAATTATATTAAATGTCCTAACATACATAACATATATCAAATATTAAAATAAAAGTATATATTAATTTAAAATAATTAGTATAACAGTCTAAAAAAAACTTATATCTTATTAATTTTAATGAATGCATCTGCAATTATGAGGTTTGTCTAATGTGATATGGTAATAAATCAAAAGTAAGCAATGTCCATTTGCTGAACATATGGAAATAACAGTTTTGCCAACACCTCTAGCAAATAGAGTGGTTGAAGCATCTATAACAGTCCTCATGATTATACAAAGAATGAAATTAAAGAATATTGGTGAAGATAATAACGAATTAAAGTTGGTTAACAAATATAGAGATATAATCGGAAAACATGTGTCGTGATTTTATATTAAATAAAAATATATATATAAAAAATAGATGAATTAAATCCTTTTTAATAAGATTAAATTAAATGATTGTTTCTAAATTGATAAGGGTACATGGTTTTGAAAAGATTTAAAGATAATATTTACTTATTAAACGATTTAATCATAAATGTATGCATTCTATATATTGAAACATGATAAATATACATATAATTATTTTGGAAAGTGTTTATGATTGGCGGTATAATTGGAATGATAATCTGCATAAATAAGAATATAAGATTCATGAAAGAAATTAAAATTTGTAGAGTATGTGCTCGTGTTGACAATTATACCCTTGGTCATAAGGAAATTACCTTTAAACTTAAAACAAATTGACAATAATAGACTTGGTAAACATAGTTTGTTATTTAAACTTAAAACAAATTGACAATAATAAACTTGGTCAGCATAGTTTGTTAGGAACAATAAAAAAAATTATTGTTATAAAATCTTGTTTCTGGAATAACAAACTCAGTGGCTTAAGCCAAAGATTAAGGAGATTACCTTTAAACATAAAACAAATTGACAATAATAGATTTGGCCAACATAGTTTGTTATTTAAACTTAAAACAAATTGACAATAATAGACTTGGTCAACATAGTTTGTTACGAACAATAATAAAAAATTATTGTTATAGAATCTTGCTTGTGGAATAACAAACTCAGTGGCTTAAGCCAAAGATTAAGGCATGAAAAATTAACTTTTAGGCCAAAGTCTAAGCGGTGAAGTCAAATATTGGGATCCAATTGCAGATTTGCAAAGTAGGATGATATAATGTGTATTTACTTTTAAAAAATAGTTGAAATATAATTGTTATTAATGATAATATGGGACAACATTGAAAGTGAAATTAAATTATGATCCATGTGGCAGAATATATTGAATACATGTTCATTTAGGAGATTGTAACATAAATGGTCCATATTATTTGTAAACATTGTTGCCTAATACATAGATATATTCCAGCATGTTGGTTTTTTGCACCTTGAAAACGATTGTTGCTGTCATGATTGTTGTTTTAATGAAGGAAAAAGTGTAAACGGCACCTTCACCAAAAAAACAGTTTTCAATTCAATAAAGACGGAAATCAAATAGCATTCGGCAAAGGAAGTTTGATGACAGAATGTGAATTAAGAAGAGTTAGAATTATTAAATATTTTAACACGAAAGAAAGGAAAAAATAAAGCAGTTTGCATACATGATAAACATATTCAAAACACCATTACATACATGATTCATAATATAACAACAAAAACAAACATTGCAGAGGATAATGAAACCTGTTATGGATGATGGATGATGGAAGTAGGCAACAGCAAGTGTAAAGAAAGGTTGAAGAAACAATTTTTTTTTCGTGATTGAGAGGTTGAAGAAACAATTTTTTTTTTCGTGATTTGTATGATACGTAATATTATATAGGGTTAATAAGGATATATAGAATGGTAAACAGTGATTTTATAAGATATCGATATCTATATATCATAACAAAATATGGAAATATGGTATAATTGGAAAACATGAGTCCTGATATTATATTAAGTTAAAACAGTTATAAAAAATATATGATTTACATCCATAATTAACAAGATATAATTAAATGACTGGATTTGAAATTGATAAGGGTACATGAATTTGAAAAGATTTAAAGATAATATTTCCTTATTAAACGATTTAATCATAAATGTCTGGATTCTATGTATTGAAACATGATAAATATACATATAATTATTTTGGAAATTATTTATGACTGACGGTATAATTTGAATGATAATTTGCATAAATAAGAATATAAGATTCATGAAAGAAATTAAAATTTGTAGAGTATGTGTTCGTGTTGACAATTATACCCTTGGGCATAAGGAAATTACCTTTAAACTTAAAACAAATTGACAATAATAGACTTGGTCAACATAGTTTGTTATTTAAGTTTAAAACAAATTGACAATAATAGACTTGGTCAACATAGTTTGTTACGAACAATAAAAAAATTATTGTTATAAAATATTGTTTGTGGAATAACAAACTCAGTGGCTTAAGCAAAAGATTAAGGAGATTACCTTTAAACTTACAACAAATTGACAATAATAGACTTGATCAACATAGTTTGTTACGAACAATTAAAAAAATTATTGTTATAAAATCTTGTTTGTGGAATAACAAACTCAGTGACTTAAGCCAAAGATTAATGGATGAAAAAGTAACTTTTGGCCAAAGTCTAACCGGTAAAGTCAAATCTTGGGATCCTATTGCAGATTTGCAAAGTAGGATGATATAATGTGTATATACTTTTAAAAAATAGTTGAAATATAATTGTATCATGCTGCAAAACAGAACTAATCAATATGATTCCAAACAAAATTTTCTTTTAATTAGGGTAAAGATCTTAAATGTTGACGAATTATAAGAAAGTTTGGTAGTAGAAATCAAAATTAGTACCTCCAAATCAGTAAGATTGCAATGATGGATGAATCCAGAAGTATAATCATAGTATGTGTAGGTGGTAACAATGCCATCGGTTGTGTTCTGACTACTGTCGTCTTCAAATTTGAAGAACACATTAATGTTTTTTTTACTTAATACATAACAGACTTAATTAATTCAGAAAGAATGAGTACCAAATATGCAGCCAACAGACCACATGTCAACAGCTGTTCAATAATGAGTAGCACCCAAAAGGACTTCTGGAGCTCTATACCAAAGGGTCAATATCTAAAATGATACAAATTATTTAGCAATCTTCAAATTTAACTTTTTTTTAAAGAATTTTAACCATTTTGTCAATCGAAATGGTACTTTTTTAAGAATTTTCACCCAAGAGGATTGTCTTCCCATTTTGTTTACACCTTGCTTCACATCCAACGACCTGTTTGATTTCGTTAATCGCAGTCAAATCCATAACGAATCAATACCATTTCGATTTGATTACTAAAAAACCATATATAGAAACATAAATCGGATATGCATAATATAAACCTAAAACCCAAATAAGAGTGATTCAAATCAAAATTCCCGTTAGAGTAATCAAAATGGAAAACCAGTTGCAGATTCATAAAAATTCAAATACCTTGAGAAGAAGAAAAACACAATGGAAATAATCTTTGGTAGTGAATCTCAATTTCAAGTTGTTGGTGACAAACACGATACAGGAGATGCATTGATGGAGAAGAACATGGATAGAAATTGGAGAGATCATCGGCTCTTAAGGAGGAAGAACATGGATAGAAATTGGAGAGATCATCGGCTCTTGATATTATCTTCATCAGAGAGAGAAAGAGGAAGAGAGCAATCCCTATTTTGGAGGGAAAATGGTTATAGATGGTAACAAAGGCGTATTTGTAGTTCCCTTTTGTTATGATGACATCAACGAAATTGATCCAGTGGTTTAAAATAATCAATGAAAAACATTGAAGGGGTCAGATTGTTTTAGATGATGTAATTAGGTTTCTGCTTTAATATATATAGAGATAAAATTACTATTTTCTTTATTATATTTGTCTGTCTTTTAAAAAATGATAAAAAGATGAACAGGAAAAAGAAAAAAGTGAATATACATTACAGCTTCACTTAAGCTTAGGTATTAAATCTAATGAAAATATATTGTTTTACTATATAAAAATTGCAGTTAGGGGATTCACGATTAACACTTGAAGATGTAGATTCAAGATCAACGTAATAGTTTTGATAAGGAAGCAAAAATATTTATTATCTTAGATCTTCGTGAAAGTGGAAAAAAGTAATGTTCACTAAGGTGAAGTAATAAACGATAATAGAGAAAAAAAACAGGAATATTAAACGATAATGGAGAAAAAAGAAATGTTATCGAGGATGATATATTTACCAAGTAAAAACCAAATCGGATATATTTACTAAGTTAAAACAACATATTTTATAAGTTTAGTACCTAAGATTAGATGAGACTTTAATGTATATTCTCTATCCCCATAAAAGAAATAAAAGGATCTTTAATTTTTCAAAAAAAATATTCAACTAAAAATTGTAGTAAAGCCTAGGTAGCTCATACATGTTTTTATCATTAACCAGAAAATTCACA